AAAAGGGGCAATGATATTAAAGCGCTGCCGCGGCAGTGCTTTAAAGTCAGCTGTACGGGCCGGCAGCCACTTTTTACTGGTACGCTGTACCAGCCCATTCCGGCTTACCTTCACCACTGGACAGAGCCCAAGTTTGTTGACTTTCAGGACATGTTGTTAGCCCTGTGGCCTGAAGCCTGGAGACAAGGGAGCTCACTAGTGTCACCTGTTGGTGAAGTGAGAGAAGAGCGGCGAGAGCTGTGTTATAAGAGTGTTACCTCACAGAGGGAGCTCTCTGCCGGCATCTTTTGGAGAATAAAGGGAATTGACTGAAACGGCCAGGCCTTATTTGCATTTTAGTTATGTGACAGCTTGGGGTATTTTTGGTTAAAGTGCAGTTAAATTTTGAGCTTGAGGGGCAACAAAATGCAATGGACAAGGACAAGGACAAGATATTGAATGTGTCTGAGGTTACCCTGACTGAGACTGTTGTCAGGCACAGTTAAGGGAGCCAGGACAGAGCCATAAAGAGGGGGAGAGAGGGGAAAGAAGCTCCTGTCTTTTGGTGGGAGCGTTTCTCTGGTGGTTATGACTCTATAAAGGGATTCTGGTAAAAAAGCTGAGCTGAGACTGCTGTAGAACAGGCATGGTGCAGAGCTGAGGGCAGCAATGACTTGAGCTGAGCTGAGGTAGTTTGGGCTGAAGTAACAGAGAGAGCAGCAGCTACGTAAGGGACTCTGGTGTGGGCCTCTCTACCCAGCAGTTAAGCTGAAATCATCCCAGCTGGGTCAGATGGCAGAGCCCCCAAAGTAGCCCAAATAGCACTGGCCTGCTAAAATGCTTGGCCTTCTCCAATGTAAGAGCTGAACATAAGAACGGCTGTACTGAGTCAGACCAAAGGTCCATCTAGCCCAGTATCCTGTCTACCGACAGTGGCCAATGCCAGGTGCCCCAGAGGGAGTGAACCTAACAGATAATGATCAAGTGATCTCTCTCCTGCCATCCATCTCCACCCTCTGACAAACAGAGTCTAGGGACACCATTCCTTACCCATCCTGGCTAATAGCCATTAATGAACTTAACCTCCATGAATTTATCCAGATCTCTTTTAAATGCTGTTATAGTCCTAGCTGGGGAGGAAAGAAGTGACTAAATGCACTAATCACTCACTGTTGCCAAGAGGACTGAGGTGGGGACTATTGTTGCGGGCCCCCTCGTGGGTGGGAGTGTTATCTCACAGAATTTGTTAATGTATTAATTGCTGGTTTTCCAAAGTTTCTTCTGTTGTCCTCTTTTTAATAAAGTTCTCTTTGTTTTAACCTCTGGACTCAGTGCTTGCCAGTGGAGAAGTATTGCTTGTGAGTGGGTGGTAGATAGTTTCTCATGTTTCTGAAGAGGGGCTTGAACTGCTGTTATTTAAATCTTTAAGGAAACCTGTAGCAAACTGAACCAAACCCCTTGTTCCTGCTGTCAACATCTGGCAGGAGGGTTACATTGCTTTCAGGGTATGTTGCTATCTATTTTCACAGACTTTTCTTGAGAAAGTTGAGAATGGGATGAGTTTTTGTTTAAGGCAAAGGATTAGGAGGCAGGTAACTTAGGGCCAAATTCAGGCCCAGTTTGGTTCTGTTCCTGGTTCTGCCACTGAATTCCTCTTTGAGCAAGTCGCTTAACTTGTGTGTGCCTTAGTTTTCAACATTGTAAAATGGAGATAGGAATAACATATACCTCATAAGGCAGGCAAAATAAATTATTGTTTATAAAAGCAATACAAGTTCCCCAGAGAACAAATTCTATGTAGTTACATTACAAAGTATTGTTGTGATAATTATTGGACATGCTGGGCCTGATTGTCCTCTTGCTTTTAACACTGGCTTTATACCACTGTATATTAGGGTAACCAGATAGCAAGTGTGAAAAATCGGGACGGGGGTGGGGAATAATAGGAGTCTATGTAAGGAAAAGCCCCAAATATCAGGCCTGTCCCTATAAAATCAGGACATCTGGTCACCCTACTGTATATTCCAGTGACTTCAGTGAAGTTGTTCCTCATTTAAATGGACGTGAGAGAGGAGAATCAGTCCAGCTGGCTGCATATCAGCCACAAAATATTACAAATGAAGCGGCTATTCAGCCACTTCTCAGCCTCTGGGAGACATTCTGAGTCTCTGATGCTAATTTTATGCTTGTCAAATTTGCTTATGCTCATTATGGCCATTCAGAGAGGGTTTTACAAGTGGTCTTGATGGAAATCAGCAACAGTGGTAAAAAATATTGTCCTCCTGACAGGCACTTATGGGAAACACAAGACCTGTATCTGGGAAACATGAGATAAAAACATATCCTCCACTGTTTCATTGCATTGGAATGTCACTAGCACTACTGAGGAGAAAGAGCCCTCTGTGATTTAGCTTCCTCCTAGGATTAAACAACATGTCTCCTTATGAAAGGAAATCAAAGGCACCAGAAGGATATCTTATTAGGGCTAAATTGCTAAGGAAGGAGGACAGGAATAACCAGAGAAAATGGTGGCTTTGGTTTCTAGCAGAATAATAAACACATTCTGATTTTTCTGCATTGCTCTCTCTTGTGGATGCTTGGTAGTGGATCAGCTTCAGCTTCATGGCAGTTCAGAGGAACTGTGCCAAGGAAAAAGCTCTGATGATATGAATAGCTATTAAAAGTTAAACACATATGACTGGTCAGTATCGTCAAAACATGCCAGAGGCACAGATGCTGTAACAAGTCATGGCATATCTGGTATGTTGACTAGATCACCTACATAGTCCAGGACTCTACAGGCATTTATCCTGTTACTACTTTGTTTTGTTTGTCCATAGTAACCTTTCATTCCTGTGGTTCTCTTTCATCAAAGTTAGAAAAAAGAAGACATTCACTGCAGTTATTTGTTTGTGTTAGGTGAAGTAAAATAAAACTGAATCTCAGACCTGGAAGTTTCATCCAAGATTTCCCCCCCCACACACACACTTCCTTTACACCTTTGATGTCTGCTCTTTACCAACCACCACCCCTTTCTCTCACCACACACCTTCTTGTAATAGCCTTCAAATGAAATTATCTTCCCTAAGACCAAAGAGGAGGTTGTGGTTGCTATAGATGACATCTTACAAGTAGGCACCGCTTGCTCATTGCATTTATTTCAATCTCTCCTAGCTATGGTACCTGGAGTCGGAAGGGTCACTCCACAGTTTGAACTGGCATATTTTTAAAGTCTTTTCTATAATGAAATATTTATGAGAGGAAATAGGGTTGGACATTCCTGCAGCCAGTTCAGTGTAAGAACACTATGTTCCTTCCTTCTTAGGACATGTAAATGTAGTCAGTTCTTTAATGGAAGACACACATACCTCATTCCTTTACATTTGAAGTGAGCTGTAAGAGGAATGTAAACTTTTATTTGGAGCAAGCCCTCAGGTAAAGGATTACCATGTGCTGCACAAGAAAATTCCAGCATGCCCACCAAAATTCATACTGTGGGGAGAGCTATGAATAGAAAGTTTGTACATTGCTATGAATATGGATAAAATACATCACCACGCAAAATCAAAAACACATATTTTGGATCCCATAATATTTTCAAAAATATATTGAAAAGAAAATAAACACAGATTTTGTGTGTTCATTTACTGTTCGGGGAAGAGAGACCGCAACAACTTTTCTTTCCAATTTATTCATTCTTCTTGATGTATTTCAGACAGTGTGAGGTTCTTTGGGGAAGCACAGCAAATTAATTCCCTGGATCTCTTTATTTCTCAACCTGCTGTACATTCATAAGGAGATTGTCTTGTACACAGCATCAGCAAAAATTCCTGTACTCAGGACTTGTATTTGATTTTAAAAGGCAGAAAAATATTCCTGTCTATAGCATCACGAATTATCCTTTTCATGAGTGTTACATGCCCTTTATTAATCTTGCTGTCAAATATAATTTGCATTTTCAAAGCTACTTCCTGGTGAATTGTTGTTGCTAGTTTGCTGTGGTCCATATCAGTTTCTTTTGAAATCAAAGAAGTTCTAGGGACGAGAAAACTTGTGTCCATGAGATTCCCAGCTCAGTTTTGCACACCCATGAGCTTTGAATAGTCCAGAGAAGTCTGATGTGAACCGCTGCACCTTTTAGAGGTTTGCCCATCACTTTGCTAATATAAATTTCATATTAAGTTTTATAAAAAGCGACAAAGAGTCCTGTGGCACCTTATAGACTAAGGTGCATCTGACAAAGTGGGTATTCACCCATGAAAGCTTATGCTCTAATACGTCTGTTAGTCTATAAGGTGCCACAGGACTCTTTGTCACTTTTTACAGATCCACACTAACACAGCTACCCCTCTGATATTAAGTTTTGAACTTCTTATATAGCATTGTTCCTCTGACACAGCATTTTTGAAGCCATATACTCTCTGACCTTACTATAATGACATAGGATCATACAGTTGTGTTCACTAGTGTCAAAACTATCGTTTTGACTTTTTGTATAGGTGGGTGAATTATTATTATTTTTTAAGAAAATGGTAGTAAAGGGAGATGTTTTAATAGTAGCGAACAGAAGTAGTAATAATAATAATGTAATACTTTACATATCTACAGCATGTTATTTTAATGATATAATCTACACCGCATATTCCTGGCAAGGAAAGCTTAAATGATTCGCCCAAGGTGACACAGACAGGAGTGGAACGCTGATATTCAGACTCTCAGTCCTGTCCTTTAGCTACAGGTCATGCTTAGAGCTAAATGCCATTTTTTCCTTTCTGTAAAGCTACTTTGTGATTTCAAAGTGTAATTCATTTTTAAATGTGGTCCCTAAATCCTGCACCTGGACAATCAAATCGATACTGATGTGCATAAAACATGTATCAATCAAGTGTCAAACTGTGTGTCAACAGGTGGGATTTGGCCATTTGACTCAGGCACCCAGATCTGAAAACTGAACCCTTGCATATTATCTATGGAACTTGCAAATGTGCAAGGAAGGGAGAAGTGACTGAACAAAGACCTACCTGCACACAGGATGTGAATAACCTCAGTCTCTGCATTCCAGGACACACAGGAACTGCAGTTTCTGTCTGTCCTTATGGATTCAAATCCCCCCAAAAGGAGAACGGAGGACCGTCTCAAGCGGAATGTTATAATGTTCCACCCCCTCCCTACTCCACATACTGGGAAGTCTCTGGACTGTGGCACAGTCCTTCCAGTGAACCCCATGGGGTGATATGTCTTCATACCATTCTCAGGGTGAACCAATAGCTAAATGCCACAATCTGGCCCTCAGTGTGCTCTGGGAGGGAAAGCGGAGCTGGGGATTGTGATAAGATCTCACTGAACTAGCAAGTGGGGTTGAGTGGGTGGAGGTCTGTAACTTTATAGGAGTCTCATTTCATGGTCTGACAGACCATAACACACTCCTCCCATTGCCCACAAGCTCTGCCATAAAAGCAGGTTAACAAAAGGAATTATAAGAGAACAGAATATTCTGAAGCATTTTATGCCCCACTGACAACAGGATCTCGAGCAGATAAATGTTTTTGAACTTGAATTTAGGTCAGCTTTTTGTGAGCACTGTTTATAGAGGAAAAGTGTGTCATCCAGTATTTTATAGGAAAGCTTAAAGTTTCTGCTTCACAGTTGTTTTACCTAAGGGAATGTTTTGTGTGAACTGCTGGGAACTTAATGTTCTTCATTTATATTTACAGAAGCAAATGGAATCCCTGAAGGTGAACACAAAGAGCTGGCACGTGTGAGATTCTCTGCACAGGCCTGTCCCACTGAGTATTGCTGTTCCACTGTGTGCTTTGGAAACTGTGACTCTGTGTAAGAACAAACAGATGGCGTTAAAAGAGGGGCAATCACAGCTAAGGATCTGTATTTTTCAGATGTCCAGACTATTCAGACCATATAGTATGCTGTGTGGTACAGTAATGTAAATGCATCCTGCTGACATATGAGAATGAGTACTGTTTCTTTATGCGTGCAGCAGGGAGGTTCTAAGCCAGTGGTGGCCAGCCTAGGGCTCTAAGACAACTTGTGGCCCTTGAGACTCTAAATTGTTGCCTTAAAGGGCACCTGTTTTAAGAATAAAATGTTTATTTGATTATAAATTAAAAACGTGGTCTCTGAATCACACCTTGTTATTTTTAAACTGACGTTCAAAAGGGGAGCTGGAGGGGAGCGCCTCCTGAATTTGGCCCCTCCTTCAGGCAGTCTCTCCTTGAACTGAGAAGCTGAAGCCTACACTCTATTTTGAGACCTCCTTCAGGGGAACCTCCTCTCATTGGCTTCCTCAGTTCCTTACCTCCTAGGGAAGACCAGCCAATCACAGCTGCTGCAGAAGGCAGGCTGAGTTCTCTCCTCTTTCCCTCAGCCAGTCGGAAACTTTTAGGTAGGAGAGAGGGAGCAGCCAATACCATTTTCACAAGAGGGTTTGCTGGAGGAAGGAAGGAGAAGAAGGAGCCCAAAAGCTTTTCTTCTCCCTTCCCTATTTTTAAAAAAATATGAGTTGTTCATCCCTCCACCCTCTTCCTCTGTTCTTCTGTATCCCTGCTACATCAAGCTGGGAAGCGGGAAAAGAGGACCCTCACTGGAACTACCCTACCAGGCCTGGAGTGCAGGGGTGAACAGTCCCTGGTGCTGCAGGAGGAGCAGAAGCGTGCTGAAGGGCAAAGGGCTGATGTGAGGTTGGGGGCAAAAAATTAATGGATTTGGAGGCAGAGGGCTGGGACAGATGTAGTATTAGGTGGAAGCACAAAATTAATTGGCATTCTGGGGGCTTGGGAGAAGCTCTGTGCCATCAGGCAGCACTTTAAAAAATCATTTAAATGTGATCTCTGTTCAGTTTTACAGTGAGAGCTCCTGAAGTGGGAGTCAAAACCACCATACGCGATACATTTGTGAGAGCTGGTGGCGCTAATTGGCACACACACATTGAAGGTGTGTAGAGGGAGTTAAGATAATCAGAAGACATAGCAAAACCCATGATTTAATGCTTTTAAAACAAACAAACAAAAAAATCCAACTCATGATTTTGGAGCCAATCTCACATTTTTGGGGAGTGTGACTCATGATTTTTTAACTTTTAGGTTTGGAAATACTGTATGGGAGTCATTGCTTTGTGTCCCCTCTGCTGACAGCCCTTTATAGCAGATCCTAAGTGCAACCACTCTACCACTTTTCAGCCTATGATCGCTTTGACTGTTCATTTTTTATACTAGGTGCTTGGTCACTGAAGTCACATAGTATTTTTTCTTCTCCTGACTTGGATAAATAAAACTTTTTTTAAAAAAATGGGAAAAAAATGAAAATGAACTATAGATAATTATTTATGGGTGACTAAACATTTTTGCTAAAATACATGAAATATTCAGGAATCACAAACATTTTCAGGAATAATTAGTTGTCACCCAAATACTTGCCAATAACAAATAATACAACTTCAAAAGTTGTAGTGATCCAAACCTGGCACTCTTATTTGGGAGAATAGTTACAAATGAGGGTGTTTTTAAAACACTATTCCTCCAACTCTTGTCCAAACAGTCAAGCATGCAGTCATGAATAACTAATATATTTGCAAAAATTAGCATGGGTTCATAGGAGGGTCATGAATGGGGCAAGGAGTGAGGTTGGGAAGATCCAAGTTTGCAACAGATATTTTTTAGAATAATTTGACCAACTCTCCTCAGGGGAGTGCCAGTTCCTATGACATTTCCAGCTCAATTTTGTGGCCTCAGTAGGTTTAGAGAGTCCGACTAGACTTTAAATAAGTATTTGGACTTTCAGAGGCTTTTCAGAACTGAATCCTTAAACCTTTTTAGACTTCACCCATCATTAGTCTGAATTCCCTCTTTAGTTACGGCCAATCTTGCAGGGCGGTAAGAGAGATGAAGATGTTATAGCTGCCTGAACATATAGCTTTTTCAGTGTTTACTCTTAAGTTTTGACATTAAGCTGTGAGCAGTGTAAATCATATTCCATTCATATATATGCATCTGTCATGACACTGTCAACAATTTAAACTATTTCACTTGCCTATGTGAGTGACGCATATATAACATATGTAATATTCAAATATTTAGAGCACTAGTTTTGCACATTTTCTGGGCTGTGAATATTCTAAGTTGTACACTAATCTTTGTGGCTGGGTCACAAGTACATGTTTTAGTAAATGAAAGTGATTTTCTTACTGTTGTAAAAATAGCTGCTAAGCAGATTTCAAGGAACCTTTTAAAAAATGTCCAGCTGCATTAGTGTGCACAAAATGTGTTTACAAAGATGCACCTAATTTGCATAAACATATAGCAGTTGAATGCATACAGTAAGTGAATATGTGGATGCACAAAAAGCCTGTTTGTGTGTGAAGTTGCATTAACTGCATGTGCATATGAAGGAGAAACATCTCCATACCTATTTTTCAAAATCAGACCCTCCCTGTTAATCTGGGACCCTACAAAGTGGTACATGTACTGTACCACTTAGAAAGTATTCTTTTTTTATTTTTAACTGAGAGATTAAGAATGAATGCTGGAGTGATGAAAGGTGATGTGGGGACGGCTAACTCTGGAAGCAGAAATTTGTTTATTCTCAGGCTGGGTACAAGAGTGCGTGGCTTGGCCTTTTCAGCTTCCCACACTGCCATGGCAATTTAAATGACCTTGGCCTGGAAATATGACTGTCTGCCATTCGCTGGATTTGTGTATCTTCAGAGGAAATGCTTCCAAACAGAGCAGGGGCCATCAAATCCCTTTCCAACTCTTAGGTTATAGTCACCTTATTGAGGATTGAGCTCAGCAATGCCAAGAAGGGATTTATTCACTGATCGGTCTCCTAAATTCTTTGGTGGAGGATGCCTTCCCCGTTACCTAGTGGGGGATGCAAACAATCAGCAAAGGAATGTTTTCATAAACACTGTTTTCCAGACAGTCCTTCATCTATGGAAAACAGTTGTAAAAAGGATATACCTGACCCCACCTCTCCTTGTGCGGTAGAAGCAGACTAAGGATAGTCTACCTACAGAATGCCATCATGATGCCTCAGCTAATTTCAAATATATAGTCAACATTTAGGTACTTATAAGTGCCAAGGAAGATGGCCTGGATGTGGGGAGATGGGGAACTCTTTAAGGCCACTCTAATAATAATTTTCTTAAAACTAAAATGTTTAACAAGTGCTGTTCATAGAAGTAGGAAAGTCTAGAGACCTGATTTACAGTCACAGGTAATGAGTTTAATAATCTCAGTTTATGTTTCTGATTAAATATGTCCTGATAAACTCATTAAACAGTTTGGTACATTCACTGCTGCTGCTAAGGTATTAGCAATGTTTTAGTCAAAACTAAAACCATTTATCATCCTTCACAGAACCAAAGCACCAGTAGGAAGTAACTATGCTGCTGCTCTTAGTAATTTGCTATCATAGGCAACAACCTGATCGTCTTCTTTTGCCAACCCTTAGAACAATTGTCTGTGGTCAAGAACTGAAACTGCAGGGCAGGAATGAACTGAATTGGAGAATACTGCACATTGTCTGCTCACATTATCCATGTTTTGAACCAGTGCTATTAATCCAGTGTTGTTTTTAAAGGGAGAGACAGTTCACAGAAAACATTACAATCTGCTTAATTCACTAACATGGGATGAATCCCTAATTTTTACTGAGCTCAGAATGTTTTTTTTTTTAGTGGCATCTCCTGTACTTAAGAGTGAAATAAATTGTTTGGGCATGTGTTTTTTCTCCAGATGTTTCTGTCCCTAGCTGCAAAATTAGACCTACTTCAGCACATGAAAAGGCTTGTTTCCTGTAAAATGCTTCATAAAACTTATGGCAGATTTAGTTTGGAACTGCTCAAAGTGTTCTTAGAATATGAGTGTGGCCTCAGACTCCACCAGGAATGTTTTATAGAAGGTACAGCTGTCTGGAGAATGCTGGAAGTGGCTCCTTGGAGTTTCATCACAGATCCTTCACTGACTGAAATTTTAAACCCACAGTATCTTCAGCCAGGCTCTGAAAATAATTCAACTATTCTTCTGAAGCTATTGAAGAGATGCCATCTTCAAGGAGGAGATCCAAGGGCTGTTGTTGATTTCCTTAGAAACTCTATTCTTAATCAATGGCTTGATGGTGAAAAGATTACCAAAAAGACCTCCAACATAGTGGAATTCATTGCTGCTGGTTGTTTTGTTTGTCAAAGTGTACACTCACTTTTCATTCTATTCCAGAAGCAATTAGAGAGAGAGGCCAGTTAAAGGCAAGGGAGAGAGATGCCAGTTTGACTTACCAGACCTAGATCGTCGAGAAGCAGGTACAAAAAGAAAACAACCTCAGGCATGTTTTCAACTCTATAACAATGTTACCCAAACTTTTTAGGGAGAAAGAGGAAAGAATGCTATTTGTGTCCTTAGAATGTTTGTCTGTATAAAGGAGAATGACATACCTAAAACAAAATGAATTCCTACAGCAAGATCTGCATGCCCTCTTGATTCTGGGACTAAGCAAAAGACCTGTTGGTGTTTGGACAGGTAGTCTTTCTATTTATTTATTTATGGCTTGAAAACTAATGTAATCATCTCTGTCTTTCTGAGCTCTCTTTTCCTTGAAGTAACTTGGCACTTTCTAACATTTGGGAATGTCTGATGGGCCCAGCAACAGTAAATCACTTCTAATTAGAGAAAGTTTGAAACAGTGCTGGGCTAAGATGCTGACGTGAAATGAACTTTACACAGGTTTCAGTATTAAAACTGAAAGATTTCTCAATGCACACACAAATGCTAGTGTCTGAGATGAGAACTTTACTCCTTTCTTGGTAGTGAGTGAGAAAGAGAGATAATTTATTAGAGCTTTAATAGAGTTAACTTAGATGTTGTTCTTGTTTACAAGAATGCAGTGTCGAAGAAAAAGAAGAAGAAGAAGACGACAACAACAACAACGACAAACATAAGTATCTCCCACTGTCGTCCCCAAAATTAGATCAACATTTATGAATGTGAGCTTAAGCCATAGTATCAAGTGGGATGAATGGGAGTTCAGTAGGGCTGGATGAACTGTTCTGGTGCAAGTTGGTGGCAGCTCCCAAATCAGCCACATTTGAGTTTGCAAACAGAAGTTAGATACTATGAAATTCAACAAATAGAGGGCTTAATCCTGCAAATCCTTTGCTCACAGAAGTCCCATAGCAGAGAATTCTATGCATGAACCATGCGCTCCAGTATCCCATTCTTGGATTCCAGGTGAAATGAGCAAGTCTGGATCTGAATTTGAGCTTGCCTTTTTCATCTGAGGAACTCTGATCTCTCCCCTTCCAGAGTCAACCTAGATAATCATATTTTTATTCTATAACCTTTTAGTAACAGAGGCGGAAAAAGAAATAATGAGTATGAGAAGGAGAGACACTTTGGGGCCTAGTGACGGCTAGACATCCAGGCTTGTCTGGGGGTTGAGGAAGACTGTAGATCCTCACTATTATTCTAGTGTCTCCTTATAGAATAGTAGGACTGGAAGGGACCTTGAGAGGTCACCCTCTTTATGTATTGCATTTTTCTTTTGGGAAGAGGGAGGTGAATGTTCCTGGTTTACATCACTGGAAGGGAGCACCTACTGTATTAAAACAGTTCCCCCTCTGTCCCTCAGGGACAGGCCTTTCTAAGAGAATTTTATACCAGATAGTATTATAGCAAAGGTGGGTTTTTTTTCATACCACGTGAATATGTAAAGTAAAAAAAGGATGTCTCTTTCTTGTCTTTCTGTCCCATAGTGCTCAAAGTCTTTAACATTTTTCACAAAAGAATCTTCACCAGACCGGCCTCTCCTTTCACTAATAATTGGGAGTACAGTATCAGGTCTCTAAGGGCAGACTTCCATGCAAACAGGAGCGACCAAGAACTCAAGTGATTTATCAAGATCCAATTGCCTCAGGTACAGTGAATCCTGGGAACTGCTGTGGTGTCCCTTTTTTGCCTTAGAGAGGTCTCTGTTGTAAAAATAGACATTAGAAAGGCCTTTTTTCCTTGTTTTCACACCTGACAGTATCCTCAAATGGGGGAGGGGCAAATAGTATAATTGTATATATTGGACTATATTTGCATACAGTTTCATTAAGTACACTTTTAATTGTCTGAGGGATATTGTATTTTTCTGCCAAACTGGCCTTTTCTTTTATCTGGGACTCAATTCTCAGCTTCTGGGGAAGATCTTCGCTTTTGTAGGGTACTTGGTATCTCTGGGTGGGTTAGACAATCCAGGGAATGTCTAGGTGATAGGGGCCGGCTAAGAATGTGGGCTAGGGTGGGAGTTAGTGTTATGAAAGGGTTTTCCTTCTAGTCCTGTAGGAGGATCTGAAACCATTTAGGCCAGTGTTCTTGCTCATGGATTGTTAGGCCCCAGTCCAGTAGAGCATTTAGGCATGCCGAAGTGAGTGATTACTCACATGCTTAAAGTTACGCATGCTTAAAGTTAAATGCTCTGCTGGATTTGGATCTTGTTTTATGTATCATATTGGTCCAAGTTAAACTTCAATCTTTTCCAAGCAGAAAACTTGCCTTTTTATAAGATTGCAAAGCGCTGTGTACACTTTTCATAGCTGTATAAGTAATAATAACATTCACTTGCATATTGGAGACAGAATTTCCCAGGGAAAGCACCAAGATTATTGTTTAAGAAAATCTCAGAAAGGAATACGGTTGAATTAACTGGGCCTGTCTAACAAAGATTTGCTTATATTTTCATACACTCTACTGAGGCGGAAGGGGTATGTTAAATATGTCGTATACTGAAAATACAGAGCATTTGCATTTTGCTCTTTTTGCCACTTAGTGAGCGGCAGCAGTAAAATTTAGAAACTTGTAGAATCTCAGTTAATGAGGTCTTTGTTATTTACTCCTGGCCCAGGATCAAGTTTATCTTTTTAATATATGATGTGCTTGTGCTGCGGGTGGCTAATGACCTGATCCTATGCCCATTGAAGTCAATGGGAGTCTTTCAGTAGGCTTTAGATCAGGCCCTATATCCAGGATATTCAGAGAAATGGACTCAGTGATTGACTGTGTCTTTTTTTATATCTAACTTCTATGATTCTATGATCCTAATGAATCCTTCAGCTGTTAATAGTCCTATTGTACACTTGTAAAAACATATAGATTACAATGCATTAATGAATCTAAATAATAACTAATTAGAACAATTAAACCATTTACCTAATTTGCTTTTAGTTACAAATGTACAATTCCTGAAAGAAGTCCTAAAGGCCTGTTCCTGCTCCCATGGAACCAATGGCACAACTGCCATTGACTTCAGTGGGAGCAGGAGCAGGTTTCAAATGAATTTGGGGTTGACGGTATGACAGGTATCTATTGGATTAGGAGCTAGAGCATACAACTGAAAAATCTGGGGAGAGAAGATTGATTTTTCTGAGCCATACGGGAAGTAATGAACTCTAAGAATTGCTCAAGAACTCTTGGCTTGTAAATACTGTATCTGTTTGCTTACTTTCCATCCTAAAAGATTATATAATCCATAACCTTGGGGCATTAACTGCTTGGTGTCTGTGCTCTTTTAAGTAGTTGTATATATTTAAATAAAAATAGAGAAATTAATACATTATTCTAATCTCCTTTGCCCTGGCCACATTTCAGTTTGTCTAATTACATTCCATAAATCCTTCATATAAATCTTTAGATAAAGAAAAATTGAATTTATAGCCTTCTAAATACAGGACATACACTTAATCCCCAGTGGGTTGCACAATCTTAATTAACAGCTACAGGAGTATTCAGGATGTAATAGGTAAATATTGATAATTACATAGGAAAAGTAATGAAATCCTTCATCAAGGCTACAGAGTTCAAATAAAGTATGTTCTCTTGTCCATGCCAAGATCTACATGCAACCAAACGTTTGTGCAAATCTGACTTCATTTTCTGTATGTTTTGCTCTTTCAACGAAAAGGGGCAAAGAAAAAGGATAAACATCTTCCTGCATTTTGGCTATAAAAATTCTCAACTTATAGCTGATATATTACATCATATACACAAAAATATGTTTTAAGTCATTTAGATTCAGTCCAGCAAAGCACTTAAATGTGCTTAATTGTAAGTATATGAGCATCTCATGTTCTTACAGTTAAGAAAATTGGGGCTTTATGTCTGTGCGAAAACACAAGGAGCCAAATTCTGTTTTTGGATTGATTCCAATGTGAGGTGCTCAGGCACTTCTGAGGGCAGAATATTCCCCAAAGCTTTACATTTCCAGTGCAATTGACATGAGCACATCTTAGAAACTAACTCGTACATAAGGCTCAGTCCTCCAAGATGTGAAGCACTCTGGCCTGTCTGCAGAGCATTATGCACACAATTTTAAGCATGTGACTACTCGTGCTTAAAGCAAAGTATGTGTTTAAGTGTGTTGCAGGATTTAGCCTATCAATCTTGCATTGTTTTTGTACCAGAAGCTGTTCTGAAAGTACACTGTATATAGCCACAAACACTTCTTCTCGTAGCCATGGACCCTACAGCTATGCTACACTGCACAGGCCCAGAAAGGTTGGAGGATAAGAAACCTTAAAGTTTCCTGTTCCCAGGACTGAATGGGGACCAGCCAGCCTCCCTGTGCTAAAACAGAGCAGTGTCTGGGCTTGCCTTACACCCAGCTGCCCACAGCTACCCTCGGGTCTTTCTGGCAGCCAATGTTTGCCCGGGCTAGTTAGGGATGCCTTGGCCACCCCCTTGTATGTGGGGGACTGGGTGGGACTCATACAGAACCTGCACTATCAGCCCTGTGGTCCTTTGGATTTAAGGGACACACAGAGGGAATCTGCAAGTGGCTGATTAAACCCACTTTCTGGCAACTTTCTCCCAAATGTACTGAAGTATCCTGTCCTTGATATTGAAAATTAATACATAACCATAAGATGTTTAGCTATATGCTACAGTAGAAATGTACATATTGTAACAGTGGTGCTTTCTTTAAACCAGCTCCAACTGACTTGTGTGGAGCAGACGAAAAGAGTCTTTAATGAAGTGGTTAAAACACATTGCACAAACATTCTTAGGTGACCAAGGAAAACACTTCTTTCACCTTTTTCTGCTCCAGGGAATTGCAGTATCATATAACATGGATTTTGCTCAGTGTTTTTCAGTCCAACAGAAGTTTTCTTTGTGAGAATTCAGAAATCAGTTTATCAATGGGCAAAGAAATGGCTCTTTTAAATTTGCTCTGATTGTACCATATTTTTTCAAAGTTTTGGTTTTAACTCCTCTTCCCCTCAAAAATAAAGATGGGCATGCATTCAGGTAGGCTGCTTTCCAGCCCAAAGGGAGGCTGAAAGATACACATCTGCATGAGTCAGTGTATTCCCACCTGACTCACGCAGATTTAATTGTATGTTTCAGTATGCATATGGGTGGTCCCAGAGCCCTTTTGAGAATGCAATGGTTATCTAATAAAATAACCCCAATGGACATGCTGGGCTTTAGTTTTTCTTCAAGGACAGACATTTTTCAAAATATTTCTGGGTTTTGCTAACTGTTGTTAATATGCAGGGATATCATTAGGAACTCCCAGTACTGGTGAATATATAGTACTCCGGGTTAAAAGGTTCTCCAAATGGATCCCTCCCTGAACAAAAACAAATGAAGAACTTTCATAAATTTCAGGTAGACCACATCAGTGATACAGTAACCACATCAAGACATCATAAACATCTTGTGAACAACATAAGAACCACATCAGTCATGGTGTGTATAATATTAGATATGTGAAATGTGGCTATTTCTTTTGCAATATACTAACCACATTAGCAATATACAGAATGAACATGAATCATGCAAAGTACATGCTTATGTATTCCCTGATGTGATTTTTTTTGGCTAAATATTTGTTTATCAGTTGTGTTGTTTTTGGATTAAAGATGATAAGCAAAATGTAAAACTTAGATGATATGAATACTGTGATGTCTCAGGTCTTGAACTTAGCCCTGTGAGTGACAAGATGGCTGTTGCATCCTGGCCTCTACCCGCTGTCTACTGAAACCTGGTGGACTAAGAAGCTAGTAGTACTGTAGCTTCAGCCAATGCACCATCCATAGGAACCCTGGCTGGAGGAGGGCCCGGTGCACTGATTGGTCCAACCACACTATTTAAGCCAAAAGGATGCACAGGAAGCTGTCTGAGCAACTATGTTACTTCCTGAAATGACTGCTTGTTCTGGCTCCTGCCTCAGTCCTGTCTTTGCTGTCTCCACCATGTTCCTTCTCTGTGCCTGATCCTTGTCTCTTTTCTGGTGCTTGTCCTTATGCCGTGCTTCTGTCAGTTACCAGTCCTAGCTCTGACCCTGGCTTGACCCTTGGCTCTGCCATTTGGTCTCTGATCCTGGCTCTGACCCTCACCTTTGATTCCTGGCTCTGGTACTTGGCAATTGACTCTGGTGCTGACCCTTGGCTTTGTTGCCCATCCTGGATACCTGCTCTGACCATTAGTCCCACATTCCAGTCCATAATACATACCCCTTTAGGACAAAAATGGCAGAATTGCAACAAGTACCTCTTTTTTCCTGTGGGTTTCAAGGAACTGGTGGAAGGTAATGCTGTAATATCATTTACATGTGGTTCCCACATGCACTTACGTACTTTGCATGATACCTTTCCATCTGATGTTTCATAGGTAGTTTGTGCCTTAAAGTCAATGGAGTGCGACAGGTTGGGGACTATAGCACTGGGCAGCAATGGAGGGAGGTGTTGTGCCTGTATAAGGTGAAATACCTCCAGGAGACCCTGAAGGAAGAATAGTCAGGAACGGTACTTGCTATTCCTGTACAAAAACTGCTATGTCTGTACACTGCTATGTCCCGCACCACAATGTCGCCAGCTCCCAACAGGAGCACACTTCTGTTTACAAAGCAGAAGCAGCTGCATTTTGGCTGTTTCCTGTGCAGATGAGGATGGGAAGTAGAGTCTCCCTTCATCCTCTCCTTTCCTCCTCCTCTCCGCCCCCTTTCACCCCAGAATGCACTTGCCATACAGAGCAGGGGTCAATAACTTTGTCTATGTTGCTGGTGTGGTTGAGAAGTTGCAACTAGGATTTAGATCCCTCACATACAGCATTACCCCATAAGGCACACATGAGTCTGATGTCTTAGGCTCATGTAAGTTAGAGATGGAAAAGCCACATCAGTTTATATAGTCCCGCCTGCTGCCAGTACAGGATCTTTCAGTAGGATACATATATTTATGCTTTTTTGTCACTTTTCAGTTAAACAGACTCATTTACATGGTCTTAGAGAGAGCTGGAGAACAGTAAACAAAGATTTCACTGATTTCCCCTACTACATGTGCTTTGACTTGATTTTCATCCCCCATTCCTTTTGCAACTAACACTGGTCTACAATTTTTGAGAAGTTGTCTGCTTCAGAGATAAAATGTGCTATTTATTAT